CAATACGCCGTGAAATCTGACCTTGGAAGAGATGTGCATTATTTAAATGAGATATTACTACAAAATAAAATCTGGCTTCTATGCACAGTATTAGCGGACGTACTGTACAGTTGAAATCGATTCAAATAATGTGCGCTGAAGTCGATCTCTACTGGAGGGAAATAATTATTGCAGTCTACTGAGATCAGTCCGTCGAAATGAACATCTACCACACAGTTAAACCGCGCTTCCATCATGCCAAAACAAAGCAGAATCACATAATCTTACTGCAAAACTCTACATCACTGCAGTACCGTGAAATTCTTTTATTGCACAGATATCGATGCCGGTGAAACTACAATATTTGGCGAACCCATACAACAATTTGGTTTGTTCAGGTAGTAAAAGAAACTAGATGAACAGCGGAATTTTGATCCTGGACATTTCGCCTGGCTCAACTCATCAAACAGAGTGATTTATGTATCTCCGGTCCTGAAAGTTCTGCAATTTCTTGGCTAGTGCTGTCTATACACGCCTTCGAGAGCACTTCAGTTTCCAGTCTTATATCAGTCAGGAGTATTTCAAACAGCATATCTTAATGCGAACTGTGCCATAATAAGAGAGGCAATTTAAGCAGATGACCTAAACGCGTTGGGAAAACAGACTACACTTGAACGGTAAGCGACGAGGCAAATGTGTTTTACTCAACCACTTTAACCTCCAACATCACCTAGGAGAAACGAGTAAAAGGGGATATGGGCTTTCAAACAAAAAACAGTATTACTTTCGAATTAGAGGAATGGCATACCAAAAACTACAAGAATGCATAAATTAATCTCAGGCTCGTTGAGGAGTAGAGATCATTCTCCGGACTACGTCATGACTACGTTCATTAAAAGTGATCGCATCGCCTATGCGCCGGCAAACAATCAATGTATTCGAATCTTAGCCAAAACGGTTCGTTCGATAAGCTGGATACATCTCCCTGTTTGTTCTTAAATGGCAGCAAATCAGTTACTCGTTATCCGTACAGCGCAATAAGCTGGGAGCAAAGCGAAGCTGGATATATACTTTAGGATGTGTTAGATGGATCCGATAGTGTCATTGGAGCATCAGTGACATTACCAAAATTTCATACAACAACCACATTTCTGATCATCGTGAAGCAGGGAAGATCGATAATGTGGAAGTTGCCAGAAACACCGTTGTTTGGATAGTATTTCAACTGTGAACCTTCTACCTTCTTCGTGTCTACAACCACTAAATTGCAAAATGTGTTTCTTAAGAGACTTCTTCCTCTTCTTGGACTAACTCAGAACTGGTACGAACTTTAAGTTGCACCGTTCTAAATCAGAATAATGTTTAAAAGGTCTACCTCTTACACACACTATTTACAGATTTTCTTACCCTACACATATAATGCTTCTACTTAGTATACATTTAAGAAATCTGATCATGGAGGAGTTCACCGTTTCGTGAAATACTTCAGCATACGAACGTATTTTGATGTTCAAGAGGTAGCATATGAGGAGCACCGGCTATGGAGGAGTTATGCGTATACGGAAAAAAGCGTTCAAAAGCGTTTATCCTGATGAAAGTATGTAAACTGGCCATTTGTTTTTTAGTTTTGACTGTCCAATGGAGCTGGACATGAGTTAAACCGTTCGAAGATGACAGAATCAGCGGAAATAACCATGCCTATAGTAATATAAGTGTTCCGTCACAAAAAAACGATGAAGATTAAGCAAGCGCTTGCAATGAAAAGAACAACTTACCTGCGAAAACCTGGACGCTCGCTATCAGGGCCGACGAGATGAGTGCAAGGCACAACAGCATGACACCACTAAAAAGGCACTGGTTCATCAGCAGCGTTAATCGAAACCAGATCTCACGTTATCGACAAGCATCGTAGGTGAGATCTACGCGTCAATCAATCACGCGGAGGACGACGGCTATTTATCTAACAACGCAGCGCCATGACAAACGTAAATAGAAACGGTAGGGCAACGAGGCACATGAAATAACCTAACAGCATGTTGCCGTCCAACTGTTCAAAGCTACCCGTAAAATATTACTCCTAATTCAGCGAATCATAATTCCAGCGATCGACATCACACGTGATTTTGGCATCTGAACTCCGAACCTCGTCCAAAAATGACATTATGCAAGCAGGTCCTACAGTGCGACACCGATGAGACCGCAGCTGACGGCGAACGAGGTCTCGAATGCAATGCTGCGCCCGCACCTGGCATCCACTTAATCAAGCAGTGCTAGAAAAGTAGTCTCTAACGAAGGCCGATCCGCATGGTGGCTCGCGACTACGAATGTGACCTTCGTCGAGCAGCAACCAAAAAATGCCTAACGCCAACCGTCAGGCCAACATTTTTAATCAGGACAATTCGACCGTTGATCAACCAAGCTCAGACGTTGCTGAATCTAACAACAATGACAAGAACAACCAGCCGACCGCTACGACGTTCAACTTGTCACGTTCTTCGCAGCACAACTTATGCATCGCAGTGCTCGTCACCTGCAGAGGCAAAGAGCCACGTTATCAGTTGGTCGTCTGAGTTGAAGTCCGACTGTGCTCAGCGGACGCGGCATGGCTTCGAAAGTCCGTCAGTCGATGGACAGCAACACTGGAAACAATTCTTGAGCTGAGCTGGCAATATCCGTGAAACCGCGACACAACTTGATTCATCAAATTCTGATTCGACGTCATACGTATGTGACACAGCGAGCCGTGCAAACTGCCATGCTAGCGGATCATGTCGCGACAGAAAGCCAATATCTTGGCTGGATATGTCGCAGATATTAATATTCAGCCACCGCGGCACACTTATCATTTGCGTCTGTTTACCATGCTTTTTCGTTTGTTAAGCTTCTAAGGCAACTGTATTCCTTCTTTAAACAGTATACACAAAATTTTGATGTTATCGTCAAACATGATTAGCACGTTGGCATTGGTGTGAAAATATCTCGTGACACATGTCGAAATAGGTGGATTTCCGAACAGCAACTGCGACAGAATATGACAGCCTTCTTAGGATCTGCTGCTGCAAAAATCATATTTGACAGTGACGACCATTTCTGAAAAGTTAAGGAAAAGGAGAGATAGGATTCAAAACGATAAGCTGTTTACATCACCAAAAAATACCGCTTCTGCTAATAAAAATACTGTATAAACCGTTCATAGATGTTTGACCGATTCATGGTTCTGGAAACCAAATACAGCAGATGGTACAACAGTTTATTGCCGATGCGTTTCGGCACACGGACCGTAGCATCGTCAGGGATGATCACAAGGCCCATTACTGCCAGTAGCAACTAGAAACATTTTTTTCAAATAATACCCGGTACTCATCTTCAAATAGAGAATAGTGCGTAGTGAAACCAGAAGACGGAGGACCTCGAACCAACGCTAAAGACCTTGGTAGGAATGAGAGAACGATTCGGGAGTCTGTTTTCATAACCCGTCTATTGTAAACGTCACCTCCAAATATCTAAGATTAAATTAAGATACGCATCTTTTAAGTAAGACATTCCACTCTATTTCTGCAATAATGGACACTCTAGAGATCACCCCGAAAAAACAAGCAGTATTTAGCAAACATCGTCATTTTACTTCCTTGCGCTGCTTGACGAACAAAATTCCGGAAACCGTATACAAATTTTGAAACTTTCGAAAAATGCACAAGA